AAGGCCCGCTCAATTTAACCGGTAGGTTAAATTTGTGAAAAGTGATACTTTCTGGACCACGCTCTGATACATTTGGGACCACTGGCCGGCTACTGCGGATTATACATTGCATTGGTTCATCTTAAAGGGGCCTATTTCGTAGCCTTTAGTAAGATGAACTCGATCGGATGGGGCGGCTATGCCACTACCCCAAGATGCGTTGTAAGATAATCAATTTTGACGGAAAGGAAGGCAGGCGTGTTCCGCTCGAGGGGCGGATATGCCATCCATGATGTATCATGTTGTTAGAAGGAGCTATGACGTGTATTCGATGGCATACATATCTTGGACATCCATCTTAGAGTTGTGGCATAGCCGCCCCACCCCGCGGAATTGGTTCCTTTGTAGTGTGCATAATTATAATTCACTTTTCCCCCTGAATCCCACCATTCGCTGCCTTCGGAATTGGAAGATTCACCGTCGCGCGCCACGAAAATAATCACACGCCGCAGCGACAAATTCGTAGTTGCGGAATAAGGTAGCAGCAATGTACTCTCCCGAACTTGTTATGGCTGAGCTGACCTCCACGATGTTGCATGGTGTGGTATCACATGCTATGTTATGATACTGACTCTTCCATGTTATCCTATTGAATGTTTCGCGTTATGTCTATGAGTACAAATTCAACGGAATGAAGTAGAAGACGATCGGCGAGCATGCTTTTGGATAAGCTTATTGGCCTTGATGCAAAATGAGGGTCTCTCGCTTCCTTCTGTTGAGTTGTCAAGTGGTATCATATACTTCATAGGTAGCGTGAGTATTTTAATTTATGACGACACCAACAGAGGTAGAGGTTATGGTAAACTACGGTGCACGTCTAGAGGGTCCTCTCGATATGGTAATGCTTCCTATGACGGTGAAAGACTCATCTAAGAGGCGTGTTGACGTCATCGTGGTGCAGCCTTGGATGAGTCGACTCAACTTCGTACAACCGGGCTTTCGGGTGAGAAGTGTACTGGAGTTTTACTGGTTTATCGTGAAGTGGCATGTTATTCTGTGAAAATCTCGCTATGCAGTGGTTCGTCACCGATAATTTCTCAGAATTTCCTCAAAATTTCAATATTCTTGGCAACACATGTAGTTGACCATGTGCATGTATTCCCACACTGGCCAATACAGTTGTAAAGATCAATTATAAGAGTTGATGAGGAGGTTTCACCATCATATTCATTCAATGCACTGTTGAGTGTTAATTTATTAATTTAATATATTCCGTATCGACTGAGATAGAGTTAAGATTGAGACTATGGTATTAGTACTCTATATATCATATATTAAAGGGAACATAGGGAACCGAACATTTATACGTTGGGTTCCTCAGCTTATTGTACCTTAATCGCTGCCTAGAAGTGTACAAAGAAAAGCAACAATATATAATTCCCTCATTGTCACCAACACACGTAGTTGGCCGTGTGCATGTTTTCTAATACTGTTGTTGTTGTCTTCTCTGAATTTGCTGATTTCGATGCTCCCATGGTGGCCGCCCGCCTTTTGATCAGATCGTCTTCACAAGCCTTCTGGCGGCCTCTAAGGATGCCTACGACTTGAAGTTCAGTCGGGAAGATTTTACTGAAGATTTTTTCCGAGTTGCAGGAGACGTTGAAGTAGGTGTCGTCGATCGTATTGACAAAAGCTTCTGCTTATAGTACGTAGCGTCGATCGTATTGATAAAAGCTTCTGCTTATAGTACGTAGCGTCGATCGTATTGATAAAAGCTTCTGCTTATAGTACGTAGCGTCGATCGTATTGATAAAAGCTTCTGCTTATAGTACGTAGCGTCGATCGTATTGATAAAAGCTTCTGCTGATAGTACGTAGCGTCGATCGTATTGATAAAAGCTTCTGCTGATAGTACGTAGCGTCGATCGTATTGATAAAAGCTTCTGCTGATAGTACGTAGCGTCGATCGTATTGATAAAAGCTTCTGCTGATAGTACGTAGCGTCGATCGTATTGATGAAAGCTTCTGCTGATAGTACGTAGCGTCGATCGTATTGATAAAAGCTTCTGCTGATAGTACGTAGCGTCGATCGTATTGATGAAAGCTTCTGCTGATAGTACGTAGCGTCGATCGTATTGATGAAAGCTTCTGCTGATAGTACGTAGCGTCGATCGTATTGATGAAAGCTTCTGCTGATAGTACGTAGCGTCGATCGTATTGATGAAAGCTTCTGCTGATAGTACGTAGCGTCGATCGTATTGATGAAAGCTTCTGCTGATAGTATGTAGCGTCGATCGTATTGATAAAAGCTTCTGCTTATAGTAATAATGCGGAACTTCACCCTCTGTTTAGCGAGGTGAATCAGTGAGAGAATGAGCATCTAAAGGGATGATTCTCCTCGGGTTGCTAAGCGGGGAAGCGTTATGACGGTTTTTAGGGAGATATGTGATCACGTCGATTTGATGCTCCGTGAGCACTGGTATATAAACAATGTTAGGCTATCCGGAGTATGACCTCGGCAGTGAAAAGTCATACCGGTGACACAAAGCGGACTCCCTTAAATTGCGCCTAGTGTTGATATGGGGGAGTTGGTATTTGTATTAGATTTCTGACGGCAAGAAGTCGCGAAAACGAGACTCTTCTGGTCAACCTGTTGATGTGACAGACTACGGTGTTGTGGTATTCACTAAGAATGGCGATGTTAAAGATGAGGATGGTAGGGAGAAGCTAAATCGTTGAACGATTATGTACGCGTGATCTTTTCCGATGGTGCCCCTTAGGTCGGCATCTCTGTTGGGATTGTAACAAGATCGACTTCAAAGTGGTAAGGATGGACACATTCCATTTCTAGATAACACCAACACACTGGAGTTTCACCCGTTTTACGTGAAGTGGCGTGATACTCTATGAAAAACGCGATATTCGCGCGCTATGCAGCAGTTGTGGAATATATTTTTCGTGGAACTCCAATGATGACGTTCTCATTCTCTTTGTATTGTTCAGAGCAGCCTCGTTACGCAGCGCATCCCGTATCTGCCTCTCACGGCCATCACTCCACAGATGGGAAATGAGGGCAAGGTTATCAACACATATTGTGTGTTTATAAGGAATACTCAAGTCGGTTACACCTGATATCTCAGCGATGGATTCTTATGTTGTTCGCTCTGGCAATGCTCGGCCTCCGGAAATTTCGAATTCACGAGGCACTTTTTTTGAGTTTGATCGTCGACTCAAGAAGAGAATCTAAACATTACTCGGTAAACGTGAGAAAATACGTTCCTAGATGTACGCATCTCGGCCAACAGGAGGAGGACCGGGTTACCGTCCACAAGGACCAAGTTATGTCGCCTTAACTGTGGCAGTAGTCGATTGTGGGTGGAAATGGTTACCAGTTGTTTCCTGGGCTAAAGAGGACTCTAATGACTCGCCTGGTGAGTTGTCCTTTACTCATTCATCCTATTCGCGAGGTATGGTGTTAACCATAGATCCGTCTCCGTGTGTAAAGAGAGCCTCCAGCTAGAGCTGGGCTTAGACTATCGTGAAATAGGTTAGTTTTACTTTACTGTAGACTCTGCTGCGATAGTAGTAGCAGAGGTTGGTGGAGAGGAGCACTTTATGCAGTGCAACACTATTATTAGTAGTGGATAGTTGAAGTCGCAGCCAATTATGTGATGAGCTGAGCAATAATGAAGGGAATAGATTGGGGACAATTATTGTGTCACGATGGTGGCTGGCACATCCAGATACGTAGTTGTCTGAGATGACAGTACGGCGAAGCCACCATCTGCACACGTAGTGAAATTAGATTAATTACTTCTCGACATGGACCCACTTAGCGTTAAATTCATTTTTTGGTGTTTTTTTTCAGAACGTCATTTCACTATGCAAATCGAGATGCACACAAACCAGGTTACGAGCTTACCATGGTTGACGACGGGAGATGTACTCAGGATTCACCGGGCTAAGGTCATGCGTTATGGCTCGGTGAGGAACACTACTAGGCTCGCCCATAATGGGAAAGAGATGACCAGTGTGACTGTGGTAGGTTTGAAAAAAGGCGGAGCGAAGTTTTTTCATTAGGCATTTTCATCAGGTACCGATTACGGAACATAACACGCAGCGAGATTATCAGCCGGGGATTGTGTATAATGTTAGGAAGTATCCCGTTGGGCCCAATACGGGCGAAATATTCGAGGAAACTAAGTGAGTTGGAGAAGGAGTGATATTAACTGTTCTATTAAAAATGGAATTTTTCACCCAACGTTTTAGTACGTTGACGTCTCCCTCTTGGGCCCGCGACTTGGATCATCTCGTTAGATGCTGAACGTTGTGACAGTGCAGACGCAAGTGAATCTAGTGTATTGGTGAAACTTTGGTGTTTTTTGGATGTATTCCAACCAAGGGTATTGAGATAACAGAAGTATACCCATAACAGAATTGGTCTCGTACCAAGTACGCCGAAATAGGGAGAGAGATTCGCGTCATAGCTTGGGAAACAAGCAGCTATTCAACTACTGAGAACAGGAAGGTCTCAAGAGATTACTAGACAGAGACAAGAAAAATGCCGTCGTGAATCGAGTAAAAAGCGGAAAAATAAAGATGTGTTTATTTTTCTCAGGAAGTTGCATGTCTTCGCTGCAGAGGCTTTAAAGAGGCAGTCGTTGAAGGTAACGGAGGTCTTCCTTTTCATCATGCGTAATCGTTTGTTGAGCTTAGGCGCCCGAGGACAGCTCTACCATAATTGGACGTGTTTCTAATATCGAAAAGGCTAGCGATCGATTTCATGTCAGTACTGTTACGGATGATAATGATGATCCTCAGTTGAGGGAAGGTGAGCTCGGCGAAAATCTGCTGGTTAGGTTTGAGCCTTGGCTTGAATAAAGCAGTGAGTCCCAGTCACGATGTCGATCCGATTGATTGGTGTTAGAGTGGGAGTACGTGTTCGCTTTCCTCAGCTGTGCTAAGGAGTTTCCTCACTAATTATAAGAGTTTATATACGAATTCGGGTAGAAGTGTAGTTCCTTGAAAATTTCCCCAGAATTTTCATTTTGTCGTCAACACATGTAGTTGACCATGTGCATACTTTTTTCCATTGCGATTATTACAGTTGAACAAATCCCCACTACTTTTTCGGTATGCCTAGTATTGCTCTGCACAGTTACTATTCTGGTGCGAAGTCCGGCGCAAGCGATGGGGAAGGCTTTTGTAAGTCCTTACGGGTAGAGCTATATATTGCTAGTTGTCTGATTTGAACCCACGACCTGGCGTGTGGAGAGTTTGGATCAGTTCTCCGCTCAGCTATTTCACCATTTACGCTCTGGTGATTGGGTGATGATTGAGGAGATGGAGATGTACAACGAGAAATGGAACTCGTATGTTGCACCGATCGGTCGAATCACTCGAATACCGGAGTGGAGCTTTGACGTACAAAACACGGTTGCTCTCATGAAAAAAGCGGAGGCTGATAACCTGGCCGAACAGCTTGAGGAACTTGTAAGTCGATTTTAATTTTGATACCAACTTTTCTCCATATCGGGCAACAGGTGGAACCGGCTGCAGAGAGCAGTGTTGAAAACGAGCAGCCGCGACAGAGTTTTAATGATGATGACTATGCCTGGACGCAAGAGCTAGAGAGGCTGCCCGTGGGGAGATCAGAGATGGACAAAGCCATTGAGCAGGGCGGCGTCACAGGTGAACCTGGTCTCGCTTCGGACGGGCTTAGTTGATTTCAGGTCCTCTGCTGACACAGTCGAGAGATGGTACGGTTGAGGTTGATGACGTATTCGACTTCGTGGAGGAATGATCTCATCGTTTACGAGATGAATTAAATTAACTGCTGCTGTTCGCGAGATTCACTTGTTGCTTTGCTGAGAGCCAACTATTGAAATGCATCATTATCATTGATTGGGTTTCTTCATGTGGATTGCGAGGCTTGCTTGTGAGTCGGTTAGTTGGATAAACATTGGGGGTATGCAGTGTCATCGACATTGTGTTGAATCAACACTGTTGATACTGGTGTTAGTACACCGAGATCAGGCCAGGGAGCCTTGACGTTTGGCTGGCCTGATATGCGGAATTTCACGTATTGAATTCATACGTGAACTAATACGGAATTTCTTGTATTAAATTGAGCAAATCTCGCTTAATTCAATACATCAGAGTTTTGAAGTTTGACCACTTCAGCTTTCATAGAAATGCAGATATCCATCTAGAACGCAAAGCCTTTACTGATGTCCATCACCTGAAACCTTATTGTACTTAGTGCTTCGTACTCTGCGGAAATACGTAAACAACTCATCATACACGAGAGGAGATGGTGGAAGTCTCAAGGAGTGCTTCGTAGTTTACATATAGCATCAGTTCATCGCACAAGAGAGACGATATGGAAAAGGTCTAAAATAGTGCTTCGTACTTGACGTACAACATCAGTTTGTTCCGCGAGAGGGACAGTATGGGAGGATGCTGAAGCGTGTTCGGCATACAGTATCAACCTATCGCGCGAAGACGAACGAGAAAATAATAATGGTTTCCATGGGATAGAAAATGAAGGGAGGATTGCAGCAAAACTGAGCTGCCTCGGTTTTCAAATGCCGAATCCCAAACCATGGAGGCATATTCCAGTTAAATACGGACTAAAAGTTGGGAGGTTAAGAGCCCCCACCGGAGTGACCAAGCTCCGAGCGACAAAGAGGGCATAGTCGCGGCCTGACTTGTGACGTGGACGGCAATTGGTATGGGAAGCAAGTCGTAAAACACTTCTTGTGGAATGTGTGGCCGCATGGCAGCTTGACAAGTACATGACCTTGAGCGTAATCGACTAGACAGATAGCGCATGTCGTGTATGCCAATTGGTGTGAATAACTGAAGATAGTTCTTAAGCAACCATTGATGATAGTTGCGCTCTTCTCGCCGTTAGCTACAGAGTTGCACGCATACGTTCAAGGTCTGATTACGTTCACGATGGGAGTCGATCCTGGTATTCAATACGCCAGGCGTTGTTGTTGACAGTTCAGATCTGGCGTTGTTTTACTCAACGGACTGATATAGTTATTACATGCAGATTTTCCGCATGGTTTAGGTCAATTGCAGTTCCAGTAGTTGTAGAACGCTGAATCACTGTTTGCACCATATAATCTCTAGGTTTGTCACGCGAAAAGAAATTGCGGACCTCCTTCACAGAAGCCTTCAACTTTGCAAGCACAATACCACATGTGACGGTTTTTGTTAATAGAAGTCGAAATGTTTCGAGAACAATCAGCTATTTTTTTCGACCTTGAGCAATTTAATCAAAACTGTCGGCGGAAAGTTGAGAAGAGGGACATTATTCATAAGTCGGTAAATGATCGAGAATTCGGGCCTAACATTAGATTAACCTGGGAATGCTGTAGTGATCAGAATCAACACAGACTTGAGTTAGGCGGAACGAAGTGAGCAAGACAGATGTTCGTCGGTGTCCAGCGAGCAGCACCTGTGGATTACTCTGGAATGGTAACAGACACAGTGACGTACGGAGCATGGCCAGTTGAGGAGAGCTTATATCGTAGTTCTGGAACGGATATGCACCCGTAGCCGCCTCGATCAAGAAATTCAGGACAAGCAGTAGTGTACATATGCCCACTTCAAGTGGGCCACTTGTAAGGCTCTAGAAAGATTCTCACACAGATCGGATGCGGTCAGCTTGTCCTCTTTGTGAGCTGCTTGACTGATCACTTCGGGGAGTTCGCCTATCGTGATGCTGTTCCTTTTCCCGAGATCGTAATCTTGCCATCAGTTGGCAGGTTGTCCTAAGCTCGCTATTCCGTAAAGGTTGCGCACACCCATCATTGACCACACGATGGGAAGATCAATTTCGTCCGCACGGCCGAAGTAAATTCGATTTCGACGTAGTGTGGTAATCAATTCCGCTATTAGTAGGACCGATTTCGCTTGGGGCCGATATGCCACCGCTGAGCTCCAATTCGCCATGGCTTCTGAAGGTGAGGTGACTTGTGAATGACATTTAGCATCTTGGATTGCCATGATGATTGCAATTTGCAACATACGCGCCGGCTCCGGTATGGCATATCTGCCCCAATCAAACCAACAGACTCAATAACAGTTGATTGTACTGAGGCGTATCGAGGAGTGGCATAGGCGCCCCAGAATCGATTTACTGGAATCGTGTTAGGTTGCTATTTTTAGGGCGCGCGCTTTTGACATCAAAATAGCAGAGATCGATCAGACGATCGATAAGGTGGTGGGATAGTCGTGTACGGCCTTCTTCAGACCTTTAGCCTGGTTGTTCAATCATGGGTCGCCGCCCAGCTCGTTGTTATCGCTATTGCAAGAACAAGCCCTACCCCAAGAGCAGATTCTGCAGGGGTGTGCCTGATCCTAAGATCAGGATCTACGATGTCGGTTATAAGAACGCCTCCGTAGATGAGTTCC